GGGGGGAGGGCGTGGGCGATTTTCTGGGGCACGAAAGTAGTTTTTTTCAACGTTAGGTTGTGCATGATTTTTTTTTGGTGGGCAATAGCTTGTGCAAGAATTCTTTTATCATCAATCTTAAAATAATGATAGTGGGAAGCACTTGCTCGATTTTTTCCTCCATGGCTCCCCTTGCACGAGTTTTTTTCAGCAGCCAGTTTCGTTCTGCAAGAACTTATTTTTGGAAACTGCCCAACCTCTTCCCCCCCTCCCCTTACCTTATCCCTCCTCTTCAAAAAATAATGGTCCGTTCCTTAACAACGCCACAGTACCACCGTGGTCACACAACTCACCTTAATATCTGTCACGCATTCTGTCATGACTTTGAGCTTCTTGACGTTGACAACCTTCTTACACACACGTAAGATGCGACTCATCTCTCTTTTGCAATGCCTAATTGCCTTCTTGCGAGTTATTCCAGTCGGTGTTGGCCAGGTGGGGACACGATACTTAACTTTAGGAGGTTTAAAAACATAGTTTACAGAGTTCGGGTCGTAATCTCGATTGTCGGTTTTTCCGGGTTTCTTCGGATGAGGTCGAACTTTGATCGGTTTCACTGGTTTCCCTCCCTTGTCCGTATCTGGTATTGGTTTGACGTCACAGGTGTTGAAACGGCGGTTGCCCTTCTTGACGCATGCACAAGATGGTTTGACGCGTCGGCTTACAGATGAGATGCGAGGTGGAAGCCTCTCGAAGAGACTTTTACCAGGCTTTAACCTGAAAAGCCAAAATAATGATATTACGAATACGTTAGAGCCTTGCCTTACGAAAACTTATGGTCGTCTTCCCTTGGTGTTAAATTTAACTTGAGAATGAAGGCTAGAACAAACGTTTTACACGTCATAAAGATCAATACAAACTAAATTTCTATTCACCAATAACTAGACTTAATTTTTGTTCTTATCCAGTTGCGACTTTCAGTAACCTCTTATGACTTAGTGGTACATTGTGTTTCAGTACTCTCAAACCATTATATCAATTGAGTCGAGTTATTGATCTTTCATATAAGACCAGCTTGATCTAGCAGCCTTTATAACCAATAAGTTAGGCAATGACTTCTTTGCTTCTAAAGTAAATCTTAGTTGCAGTTTTCCTTGTGGACCCGAGCTATCTTCCAGTTTGATCTAGCAGCTTTTGTAACTAAAAAGTAAGTAAAGCAAAGACTCGTTTGGTCCTAAAGTAAATCTAAGTAGGATTGTTGTTGTTGTTGTTGTTGTTGTTGTTTATCCAAGCAGCAGTTTTCCTTGTCGACAAGGCTATCCTCCTGTTACTTACATGTACTTCCTGGCAAACGTGTAAATGCCTTTTCCCTCCAGATCGTCACGTGGATTCCCGTTGTTGTTCCCGCAGAGTCCCACAGTAGCTGAGGTGTCTGCACCAGGGACTGTGACGTACAAACTCATTCCCCAGTATGCACAGTGAGCTTCGACCACAGCTCCTGACCTCATCATGACCTGGGAAATGACATCAAAAGACCAGTTACATTCAACTTCCAAACATGTTGCTTTCAATGAAACTGATATTACTTAAAACCAGGTAGGGTTGCAATAAAACCCCGCGTGTAAGAACCCGCACAGTAAGTTCTTCCGGTATTTTGGGGGTAGTTGTTAATTACCAGAAAAATAAATAAACTTGGGTTTGGTCCTTAAAATAATACAGTATTTATACACAACTGTATTACTTATTTTCTTGTAACATAAATTTGCAATCTTATATCACACTCTTCGGTGAAAATGTTTAAAACATAATTAAACTGTAACCCACATACAAGAACTAAAAACCCGCTTGATCTTGCTTGGCTAAACAGGTCTTTATATTCTTGGGTATTAAAATGGCAAAGGTTCTTAAATCACTAGGTTCTCACATGCGGGTTTTTACTGCACTGCATGGTCAATTGAAGTTCCCCGGGCTTTCAAGACAGACCTCATCTAGGCAAAACATGAAAATGAACTTTTGACTTCCGGTTGATTTGAGTGAAACAAAATAATAAAGAAGACGTCGCAAACCTTAAAACGCGTGCTTTGACCAGATCCATATCTTCGGATTCTCATTCGGTTGCCGAGAGGTCGTGGTGACTTCTGTACAACACGTGGACTGGTCCTGCGCCAAGCTCCGTTACACATGTCAATAGTCACCACGTCATTGTTCTCACGGATAGCCACACCGCAGTTACACACCACTCGCCAGCACGGCCAGATACGCGCATGTACCTAAAGAGAAAAAACACGAAAGAACATGTTTGACAAAATTTCCAAAATTTCCGAGAGAAGAGTTGAAAATACGACGTGTAGCGGAGTATTTTTGACGAACTTCGAGGTGTTTGGTGAAGTGGTTAAACACTGTCTTTAGTGTTTGATATATCTGCTCACTTTGAAACTAAAACAGAGGAAAAGCAAGGCACTGGCTTAAATACAACTTATCCAGTCAGCTGAAATAATACTGAGTCCGAAATACACGAAGGCATCGAGTGATAGCAAAAAAGAATTGCTCCCGGTTATTGTAAAACTCGAAAGAATCATACCTCGAAGTTCCTTCTCAGACTCTTCACCATAACGTAAGTTCCAGCGTTCCTCAAAATGTCGTAATACCTAACAAAAAGGTAAGCGCACAAAACAGGTAAATTAAAAGAAAAAAACCAAACAAAAAACAACAAAACAAGTAGTGCTAGTCCATCGCAAGGTTACCCCAAGCATCAAATTCGCTGGTACCCATTCATACACCTGGGTGGCCAGCATGGAGAAAGGTAGTGTGAGAATAAAGTGTCCTGCCTAAGAACACAACACAATGTCCCCGGCCAGGACTCGAATCCGGAACGCTCGGTAGATACAATGCAAATTTTTTTTTTTTTCCAGACAGATTGAATTCCTCCGCCTACGGAGTCAAGTCTCCACTGCTCAACTCATATAAATCTAACACATCTTCCAAGTCCTTGTATGCTATGAATAAAATCCTCAAATTTTTCCATTCAAATCTACTTTTAGTACTTTTTCGTTGTGCTGTTCATTTTTAATAGTTATTACAGGCAAGTCGAAATGTTTGAAAACGTTCTATAGTTGTACACATACACTGACGAATGATAGCAAATCTGGCTTACTTGTTATCAAATGTTCGATAATGTGGGTCTCCAGTTCCCTGACATTTCTTGAAGCCTCGGTTGGATGTTATGACCTACAATTCAAGAATAGTTTGAATGATCTCGACGCCCATATGTTTGGGATAAAAAAGCAAACCAACAAACTTTATCATAGTTGAAACTGATCACCTTGCAAAAAGATACAAAACAAGCAATTTGGATCATTACAAAGCACTGGACGTCAGCAACTTGCATGCAGTTGTACTGACCAATCTCAGCATGCTCTGTAAAAAAAAAAAAAAAAACTGCCTCCCCCCTCCCCCTCCCAAAAACATAAAACGAACTTATCTAAAAACAGTCCTCCGCTTTCTTCCGATTGTAAGCCAGTAAAAGTTTTTTTCTACGTCATTTTATAAAAACATGCTCAGACACGTCTGATGTTCGTCTAGATACTGTAGCACTTGCTTTTGTCTCGCCGTTATAGTCGACATGTTTTAAAGAGTTTCGATTTTTCTTTGCTGACCAGTTGCAAGACAGCTGAACTTAGCCATCTCGAACACTCCGCTATCTGCAACTCAAATCAATGTCTCTTGGATATGCTTTTCCAGTCATTACAATCTCGTACTCTCTCTCTCTCTTGCTATTTCGAACTACTTGTTTTTGTTTTCCTTGAAAGTTGCAGATAGCGGAGTTCAACAACAGTACATCATTCTAATATACAACAGAAATAATTTGGACGCAATGTAACCTCGATCATTTATAAATTGCAAAATAATACTTGCATGTACACACTAACAAAAGCAATGTAAAATCATTATTTACCTTGATAGGGGGAAGTCTGTATCCTTTCCAAAATCCACAGAGCCCAGGCGTGGATCTTATAGGGCTGAAGTGAATACGGATATTCTGCCTTTTCAGCTTTCTGAAATCACGCACAGGCTTCACGTAAAATCCGTAATTCTTCCTGTTTCTTTCAGTCAGCATCATCCGGCACCTGTCTGTTACAAAACGGGAGTGTGACTCAAGCTTTAGGCCTACAAAACATCTCCTTCGACCGCGGCATCTGATTGGAATAGAGGTGCGTAGTTTGATCAGTTTCCAGCCGGAGCTGTCTGTCATTGAAAAAGCCTTTGGATGAACCTGCAAGAAAACGACGGAGTAGTCAAAATCCAATTTCTCAATCTAATCGTATAGCTCAGAGAAATCTCGCGGTGTGTGGCGTGGAATTCGACTTCACAATTGGATTACTATCCACGGAAGCATTGCAATCATCTCTTGAAGTTATTCGATTCAAGGACAAATTATTTTTAAGGTTGGGTACTGAATGTAAATTTAACAATTTCATGCCGATCTCTAGTTTATGCGCGAAATTTAACGTGGAAATACAGTAGCAAATTTCAGTACAAAACATTACTTGGTGCTGAAAAAGTCAATCCACGGGAACAAAAGGAGTCATCTACTAGGGTAAGTAATGACGTACTATGAAATTCTCAGCGCTTTAATCATAACAAACAGCATGAAAAGAGCTGCGGATTGTCGAGGAGAAAGTGATGTTGCCATAAATTTCTGAAACTTTACCTTGATGCCTGCAAAGAAGTCTTTACTTCTCGTGGTCATTGTCCAATCCTTACCACTGGAGTATCGTGCCCTTACTTTGCATGCAACCTGAAACGAATCAGTCACCAAAAACACCATTACAATTCTAATTCAGATTGCAAAATAGAAAACACTGGCAAAAGAGTACAAACAGGGTTGAGAAAAGTATTTTGCTTTGTCTTGGGCATGCAAACAGTGTTTAATTTCATCCACACGAGAAAGAATTTTTCGCCATTCGATTCTTTAATTAGCAATTTGCCTTATTTCTTTTACTCGTGCGCTTGTTTCTCAGAACCATTTTTATTCTTAACAACAATATTTAAGATATGATTGGAACACCAATAAAGCAGATTCAGATACAAAAATTATTTTTTAGGAAGGATGTCTTTAGTTGAATTAACAGTCCTTTAATTAAGGGACCATTTAACTCTACTAACCGTTGTTCCAGCCTTGAAGCCATAAGTGTTTTCCAAGAGCTCAGCATGAGTTCCTCGCACGGTTTCTGTTTTGGTCACTCGCTTGTTCACAATCCATTGCACACGTGCAATGAATCGGCTGTTTCTTCGTCCGCGGATGTTGAAGTAGCAGCGAAGGGCAACCTTAGAACAGCCACGGCCAGGTTTAATGACAGGGCGCACGACAGGTCGGGAAATGACAGGATAATCTGACACATATCAATCAATCAATCAATCAATCAATCAGTCAATCGATCGATCAAGCAGGCAAGCCAGCAAGCAAGTAGTCAGTCAGTCAGTCAGTCAGTCAGTCAGTCAGTCAATCAGTCAGTCAGTCAGTCAGCGTCCACGCATTTAAAGGAACTATGTCAGGGCTACGCAATTTTAAAAACGTAGCCTATTCTTTAAGCAGGTCTTTCGTACTTGTTCCTTGTTTGTTTTTTGTAACCTCTTATTATAATGTTCTTCTAACCTCGTTAATAACTATTTCGAAGTTTTTCCCAAATGAAAAAAAGTCACTTAACACATTCCAAAGAAGGTTCTTTTCAGAATTTTTGGCATTTTTTAGCCTTGAGCTTTGTGCAGCCATACAGTTATATAGTTGACGTTTCCACTCTCACCTGCACGACAACCGTACACCTCGACCCTCATAGATATGTGACCATGCCAAGATCTGGGGTTAAATTGTACATAGTGTCCGTTAACAGGCGGGTCGATTGGCTGTTCTACCAAGGAATATCGGTCAAAGTTGCCTCGGAACAGCTGAAATATTAAACAGATAAATTCTGTGAGTTCTGACTCTGCCCCCTTCCACCCCCCTGGAACCCCTCCTCCACCCTCCGGAAAACAACCCCTCCTCTACCCCTCCGAAAATAACCCCTCCTCTACCCCTCCGAAAATAACCCCTCCTCTACCCCTCCGAAAATAACCCTTCCTCTACCCCTCCGAAAATAACCCCTCCTCCACCTCTTCCAAAAATAAGCAGTCCTCCACCCCTCCCGAAAATAACCCCTCCTCTCTAATTTAGGGAGCACAAAAAACATTGGATAATATGCTCGCACCTCACTTCAATGTAAGCCCAGAGTTCTTCGTATTTGCAACTGAAAATGTTCAGTCAATACATCCAAACTCAAGTCTGACTATATTTGAAAAACAAAAGTCCTTCTGGTAACATTATACTCTTCCTAAATTGAGCCATTCCCCCCAAATTGTCGTAATGTTCTGATCATTAACATTATCCCTACATTGACTGAGACAATATCTCCTGATTGAAAAGTTCGGTCTTTACGCTTCCATATAAATAATGAATAAATAATAAATTGCAATACTTAGAGAGGAAGCAACATCAGCCCTAGCTGGTTTTCAAGTGGGTCTTCTTTCCGGATCGATTTTGATTTTGGAAATGTTGGTTTTTCAGGAGGGAGGAAAACCGGAGAACTCGGAGAAAAACCCGCGAAGCAAGGCGAGAAACAACAACAAACTCAACCCATATATGACACCGGGTCGGAATCGAACCAAGGCCACATTTGGGGGAGGCGAGCACTCTAACTGCTGCTCGTAAAATATACCATATTAATAACACTGTTGTTTCGCAAACCTTAATCTTCCCTCCTTCCTTGATGGGTAAGAAAGTCCTTCCATTCTGACTGTAGTACAAATAGTAGGTCCTGACAAACTGGGTTGCATCATCCCTCCCCTGAGTGGTGACTTTTGTTATCCTGGTGGGTCTCCTGAGGTCGATCCGCAGCCACTGGTTTCGGTCATTACGTCTTGCACACCACGCGCCAACGAGACGGTGGACACGTCTTCAAATAAAACCAATTTTATGAACACACGATTTTTATCTTTACATGACGAAAATAAGCGATTTTTTAACATTCTTTTACGGTTATACCTTTTAATCCACCGTACGAAAAAATATGGCGACTGACACATTTACCCATAATTCTTGCCGCACGAAAACTTTACCAACGCTCATAAAAAAGTACAAAATAATTCTAACATCTTTAAACCTAGCATACAATGTGTCGTTAGCACAGGGACAAATATTGCAAATATATGATGTTCCTTGTACTTTATAGTCTGTGTAAGGTTCGCATGGTATTACGGTAAAATGTTAAGCCACCATCTTTTCTTTTTCTCTATAACCTTAGTTGTAGTATTCAAAATTTATTTGTGCAGCTTTTGCCGAGCCTATCACCAAAAACACTGACACGATTTTAACGTAAGACGAATTGGAAAATCCGTTTTGAAATTTAAACTCAAGCATATTGGCAAAATTCGAGGAACATTTCATTGTCAGTTTCCTTTGTAAAGTCAAATTTAATTTTTTTGCCATCACAAGGGTTGAGTTTCATTTCTACTTAATTACGATATCACAAATATAAAGTAACACGTGTGTCGAGGTCCTGAACAAAGCAAGTTAAAAAATGTACATCAAACTCTTGACATGTGCTGAGGACTTCTAAACCAAATTGCTAAGCACAGGTTCAGTTCAAGCAGTCAGTCTTGCCAGCGGACTTACCTCTGGTTAAGCCGAGCCCGAGATGGATTATGGTTCCCATCCCATGACGAGGAAGCTCTGATAGCATGATTTGGAATACGGCCATTTTGCATTCCAAGAGGTTGGAAACACATACGGAACATGGCTAACAAAGAACGAACAAATATAATAGGTAAGCTAAGAGAAGAGCAGTGCGTACAAGTTATAAGAATCATAAAGACCAGGGCCGGGTTGTTCAAAGCCCGATTAAGCTAACCCAGGATTAGCAAGAATTTTGATTTCAGTTTGGTAACTTTTGGGTGCCGTTTTCTGTTTATATTGTTTGTCCTTCAGGTTTGAGTTTGAAAAATCTCAAACTACGTAAAACACAAGCAGTGAAAAGCATTTTTATACAAGAAAAATAGATACTTCGATTAACTTTTAATCCTGGGTTAGCGTTAACCGGCTTTCGAACAACCGGGCCCAGCATAATAAGCCAGGTTCAACATATCAACATTGTAACATGGCTACGAGACTTTCAGGACAAACTTCTATATTTGGTGGTGTTTCCTTTGTATCCAAGTCTCTTATGGGAATTGAGGGGAAAAAAAAACTTCAAAAATTTGCAATTTTAACGTGAAAGCCACGGAGCCATGTTTCAATATTGTTATAGCGAACGTGACCTATTGAAACAAAAGTACCCTAGAACGGTATTGGAAAACTAACAGTCATTTAAATGGGAACGGTATGTTTAACGGTATGTAAGGTTTTACTTACCCTTATTGCAGCCATAAAGTTCCACTCGCATAGAGATATGGCCATGCCACTGTTTGGGATATATACGAACATAACGCGCTTTGAAACCGGGGTACAGGCGGTTATACACAACAGTGTTCCTGTCACTGTTACCAGGGAACATCTGTTAAAAAAAAATTATGTCAGTCAGTCTGTTAGTCTGTAAGTCTGCGAGTCTGTCAATCTTTCAGACTGTCAATCTGTCAGTCTGTCAGCCTGTCTATCAGTCAATCTGTCAGTCTATCTGTCAGTCTGTCTGTCTTCCAGTCAGTCAGTCTGTCAGTCTGAGGAATAATCGAGCTCACGAAGGAAGACTCTGTTCACTCAGGAAAACAAAATATACATATGAGGCTACTTACGAAAGACTAAATGACAAGCAAATGAGTTTTATTACATTTAGTTTTTACCTGAACTTTTCTGTTGATGCTGTAAAACTTAATCTTATTGCCAAACAAGCCGTAGCTAATCTCGTATTTCTTCACCCATTGGTTGGCGTCGTATCGTCCTTGCGTTGCACAAGCAACAACCTTTGTGACGTAACCAAGATATATCTGCAGCCACTGGAACACGTTGTTATATCGTGACGACCAAGCACCAGTGCCTCCGCGGTTGAGAATATTTAATCGGGCTCTGTACGGACCATGTCGCCTATCCCACATGGAAGAAGCTGTCATGGCATTCTTTGAAATACGACCATCTTCGAGACCCAGTGGAGCCCCACATGCACCTAACAAGGAACAAATGAACATTACAGTGTGATCATTACATGCTATGGGACGTGAGATTCCCTTATGAAAGGGTCGAGGATGCGCGTCGGACAATTTGAATTAAGCCCCTAATGGAGCCCACGCTAGTTGAACGGACTCGAGAGAGCGGCGGAAATCGAACTTAAACGTAAATGAGAGTGTTTTTCATTGTTATTTCTTCGAGTGTACCCTAAAAGATACTTTGACAGCTAAAAATAGTGGCCTTCGTTCTGAAAACTCTAAGTGAGACCAAAATCCTAGATGTACACCCCTCAACAAGACGACAAGCACCTCCGACAATTTCGTATGGGAGTTCCCCCAGGGGGGACATCTGTTAGACAGCACTTTACCAGCAGCCATTACTGTACTTACCTAGAGCACAGCCAAACACCTCCACGCGCATAGAGATGTGACTTCTCCAGCCCCACGGATGGAATCGGAGGAAGCGAGCACGAATAGACGGGATGATTGAGTTGTACACTATAGTGTTTCTGTCACGGTTGCCACGGAAATACTGCAAAGAAACTCAAATGTTACTGCATTGTAAACATGAAATACAACACACAAACTGGTCGCTAGGCCAATTCTGGCCCTCTCTCTGTAACGCAACGCTACTCCCGGGAACGTTAAGTGACATAGGACCAGAACTCGACTAAATGGTTAGAGTTTACTAATCAAATGGTAATCTGATTGGATGAGCTACCCCAAATTATTTTTCTCACCTTATCTCGGGAGTTCTTCCTGTACCTAGCAAAGTGCACTCCATCCACACTGAATGAGAGATAGTACACCGTCACCCACTGACTTGCCATGGCTCTACCTTGTGTAGCAACACGTATGATCTTAGATATTCGGCCAAGATCCAGCTGCAGAAATTGGTGACGATTGTTGTACCTTGGGGATAGACAAGAAATGATTAAAAACTGAAGGGGCGACTTGCACCGTTTACAAAGTTCTGTATAATTGGCTAAACGAAACAATAGGTTAACGACACAAACAATACCTCTAGGCCTAGGAACAAAAGAGGTACAGATTAACAATAAAAACAGATGTTTTAAAGAGGTGCAGGGCAACTGAAACTAAAACGTGATTGTTGAAAAAGTGGTTTTTAAAGGAGCTTTGTCACGATATTTTGAGTTGTTTTTGTTATATTGAAGGAAACTTGAAAATAATAGTTTACCAAGAGAGAAAAACACCAAAGAGATAATAAAAAACCATAAAGGAACAAGGATGGTTAAGGATAGAGAATGTTAACAAGGATTACAAATGATGAACTTGAAAACTTTAGGCTAAAATTTTCAAGACGCGCAGGACAAAATGGTACTTGTTATGTCACCCCAGTTACTTGTGGGACGAGAGTGGGGTGGGACAAAGCTTCCGTTTTCTAGAGCCTGCATTACCTGGCTGACCAAGCGCTCTGGTATCTGCCCATGCGTCGTGCATTAAGCCTGGCTAAATGAGGACCGTGGAATTTGTCCCACATGGACGACGCTGTGATGGCTGAATTTTTAATGCCTCCCGTCATCATGCCAAGAGGTCGATTACACATGTGACCTGCAAAAAGAAGAAGAAATTCATAAAAAAATTGGTGAAATTTAACACTCGCTCCATGGACAGCGAGAAGTTCTATCGTTAAAAGTGAAAATAGTCGTTTCCATTTACATTACCTGCAAAAACTTTCGGACGATTATAATTTCGGACAAAAAAAAGCGTCCGAAAATAAAAAAGTCCGAAATTTTGAAGCGTCCAAAATTTCAAACGTCCGAAACATTTACAGTACAGTATAACATTTTTAAGTTGCTTCAAAGCTCTTAGGTTCCTTTATGAGGC